TGCTTTAGTACTATTTAAAAATTTCTCTAATTGGAAAGGTATTGAAAACAATTGAAACGTGTGAAAGTAATTACTACTCCCTTTGTTTCACAAAATTACTTCACCTTTATTTTCACTCTTCCTCATTAAACAGTTGATCGGCTTTCTAATAAACACTCTATTTTATCTCTATTAGTACTTATTCCGCCTAGGCGCCTAGCTATCACATGATAGTTATTCACTATTAATCTAATAATCACATCATACTATTACTCATCATATCAAAGAATAAAAATGCATTGGAAAGTTAACTACTAATACACTCGCTTTAAAGTCACTAAAATTCAAATCAAGATTTTTTTCGAAAGAGTATATTTTTGAGTGTTTAGCGCAATTTTACCACGAACATGTATATATGGAAAAACAATAAATACAAGAATATACTCCAATAACACCGATCTTCGCCTTCTCCCATGGGGAGCCTTATCGGAAATTGGTTCGCCGGTGGTATTTTCGGTGAAGCCCAGCATATTTCATCACGTTTGTCTTTGTCGAGCTTCGATCCAGCCAAAATTTCAAGGCGCGACTTTGACTCTTAATTGACAACCAGAAGACGGCGTGTTGGTCCCCACAACCCTGGCGATGCATAGACAATACCCAACAAAGAACAAGGGAGGAGTAGATTTCGTATCTAATTGTAGATATAAGAGGATATAATTTTTAGTACTTTTTTATATTTCGTTATTCCTAGTGTGATACAGAAAGTGAAATCGTATACTGGCAAACCAACTTATTATTTTGGCATTTCAATTTATTTTGACATATATACATTGTAATTGACATTGTAGCTTCAATTGGCATTGTATTGATCATTTTTACTTAACCGTCACTGTGGCACTATGACTCCGTGTCGGCGATAGTGAGAGATGTCGTGGTGGTGGTCGCGGCAATTGTAAGACCTCAGACACTACAAGTTCTTTTAAAACCAATTGGTGTTAGGAAAAACACTGTCAAGGAACCAACTTAACCACAAGCTCGTGCAAGCGTAGTCTTTTTTTTAGCTTTGCACGTGAAATCTTAATTTTTTTAAAACTGGGTGGCGCTGAGTTTCGAACTCGTGACCTCTTAGTCAACAAGGCTCCAATACCATGTCAAGGAACCAACTCAACCACAAGCTCGACTCAACCACAAGCTCGAGCTTGTGGTTGTGGCCCAGGAAGTGTTTCTTATATTCTAACAAACACATACCATAGTCTTATACTACATTCAACGTACACGAGTGCCCACGACATTTGAGCGAGACTTGACCCGTATTACCTCTGCCAAGAAAAAATTGATAAACACATGACCAACAATCTTCTCCTCAGCAAATTGATCTAATTGAGAATCCAACGCGTGACCTTGGCTCTAATTCGTCTTGTATGAAGTATGGCTACTAATTCTCCTAAACCTAATTGGTCTTAGGAAAATCACATACCCTAGCTTTATATTGCATTTAACATATACAAACACTCACGGCATTCTAGTGTGATTAGCCTACATAACCTCCCCCACGGGATAATTGACGCACATGGCCAACAACAATGGTAGGAAACAATATAATGACACACGACATTTGGCAGTGTTGGTTGCAATCGATGAGATTGAGGCAACAAATTACGGCGACAGAGATTCAAGTGATGGTTGTACAGCGTAGCACCAGACGACGATAGGGTTGGCAACGTCGCCGGCAACAACTAGGGTACCGACATCGACGATATAGAAAATTTAGAAGTTTTTAAACATTTTTTGTCTTTGCCCGACTGGAATGCATTATTAGATTTCTTCCTTCAGAAAAAATAAATTTAGGTCCAATTTTGGGCATAAAACATAGAAGGGATTCATGTTTTTTTTATATTTTCTTCATGCTTTACTCGTACTTGGTCTTTTCCCTTTATAACAATTTTGAAGTAAAACAGTAATTACGTACACCATGATATGTATTCCGTGTAATCAATAACTTTTGTTTTTTTGTGTGTTTTCATTAATTATTTGAAAAAAATATAATATTGTTGTCACCTATTATTTTGTGGAATTTTATAATGACTTTATAATACATAATTTTTATACCAAATTTAAAAAAGTAATTTCAAAAGAGACAAATTTTTTTGTGATCCTTATTCCTTAGATACGCGCTCATTTTATGAACCTTATAACATTTACAATGAGAGAGAATCTCGTCCCTTCCCAACTCCCGCCACATCAATATTCCAATAATTCTTATCCCTAGCAAAAAATTCTACAATGCTATCGGCTTAAAAACTTGCATCTCCGTTTTTTTATATTATTCATCATTTTTAATTCCAATTTTTTAAAAACAAAATACATATAATTAAAAAATGCTAAGATTGACACTCATTATTATTAAGTAGGGTTGCGCCGCCAAATTTCTTAGATCAAATCATCCGTTGATGGATTAAAGTGGAAGATGTGTTGAATTTATAAGGTTGAAAATTTTAGAAGAAATCGAATTGGGATGTGGCGGACGCGGCAGTGGGCTGCCGCCACGATTATGCACCGGGAATTCATCCCGTCTGAGCGCCACAGTTGGGGCGTGCGCCGGGGCTGAAAATGAACCCCTCCTCCTACTATAGACGTCCGGCGCGGCGTGCCTTGGATCCCGAGAGGTGCATCGGAATTTGCATTCCGTTACAAATGCTGTTCTTACATCAAATTATTTTGGGCCTGTTTGGAAATAGCGTTAGAGGTTAGCGTTAGCGTTTTGAAAAGGCTATCTACGGGCAGCGTTTAGCGTTAGCGTTTTCAAAGTAATCTGCACCGTTAAAATTTTATCCAAAACGCTAACGCTAATCTCTAACGCTATTCCCAAAAAGACCCTTTATGCATTATGCCTGATAAGAAGAAAAAGATTCAATTCTATGTTCATAAAAAATACTCCCTCCGTCCCAAATTATTTGCAACGTTTGCTTTTTGAGCAGTTGCAGGAACTTTTGTTTATTTCTACGTTTTCATTGGTTATTTGATAAAATAAAATATTCTTGACACCTCTTATTTCGAAGAACTTTTCATGTAGTTTTTTATATGTAAATTTTATTTTTTGTTTCTATACCAATATGTAAATAAAATGAATTGAAAAAACTTGATATTTTGCCTCGAGAATACAAAGGTGGCAAATATTTAGGGACAGAGGGAGTATGTAAGAAAGTTTAAATTTCAGATATGTACTTTAGGACAACAATAAATGAATGCTTCAAAACCTGTGATATTTCTGCTCGTAACTATTTTTGTATAATTTGTTAAGGCTCTGTTTGGTATACAGAATTCAAACTATGAAATTAAGATTAGGGATCACAATTCTAATTCTGTTATTTGGTAAAACAAAAATTTGTGAATTTTAAAATGGAAGTGCCAAAAATAAATTGAAATGAGAAAATTCAATTTCGTAATATTTCAATTTCTATTTCAATTCTAATTCAGTTGCTACATCAAATACTCGTAATAGCTTTAAAAAATGCAAATCCCAAATCAAGAAGTTACCTTCATGTGCACACCAATATGGTGGAATATCTTTGTTTATTTTTTGTACGATTGAAATAATTGGACACCTATCGACCTTTTTTTTTTGTTATTCCCTTACTTTTCGGTTTTTGAGGATATGTATCATTTTTATGGCCGTACGTATTTTCTCTTTTGCCTACGTATTGTATTTTGTCTCGGTATGGAATACGGAACCGTATAGCGTATTTTTTATTGTACAAAAAGGAGACAGAAAGCGTCCTTCCTTCGTCGGCGACGGACGTGGGCATCTACCCCTCCGGTCAAAGGTATTTGACCAGCCTCTGTCTTCAATCTCAGGGGCCTTTCGGTAATTGCACTGCCAAATTTATTTAATTCCCCTTTTCCAAAATATTTAGGATTTTCATGTTTTTTTAAATATGAGGTAGAATATCAATATATAATACTTCTCATTCACTATTTACTAAGTCAAAATTTATTAAATTTCTTGGTCTATTTTCATGATCTATTTAATAAAATAATATTATTCTCACTACTAATTTTGTGGATCTTTTGATGTAGTTTTTAAATATGTAATTTTTATTTTTTAATTTTATATGATTTTTCATATAAAATATTTTGAAAATAGTTTCTGTCAAATATCGTAACACGTAATACAAAAATATTTTTTGGATGGAGAGAGTATTATTTAATTTTTAAGACTATATTGAAAAATATTTTTGGGACAAAATAACCAACTGAGATAAGATTTTAGAAGGAAAATACTCCGTATTATTTAATTTAAATTTTCTTTTTATATAAAGGGCAAATGTTTTTGCAGTCTCTCTAAATTCATCCTTATTTTACAAACCATAGTACAATACCATAAAAGAATGAGAAAAAGACTAAAGTATAAGTAAAACGTTAAAAATATACTCCCTCCTTCTCTGAAAACCTTTCTCTTTTCTTTTTTCATTCGTCCCAAAAAACACTTCTCATTCCTATTAAAAAATTACTTTTACTCCTTACTTTTTCATATCTTACCTATCACATCATACCTTTTTACTAATAATCTATCCATCAAATCATACTTTGGAAATTCAATACCAAAATACACTCCCCTTAAATCCTTCTTCAAAATCAAAACTCTCATGTTTTTCAGGACGGAAGAAGTATCAAAATAGGACTTTCATGTTTGTATTCCCAAAATAGGAGTTAAATTACATTTACATTATCAAACGTAGTCATTACATTACCAAAAAGTATAATAATGTGCATATGTACAGTGTCACGTTACCTCCACATTAGCATCATGCGAACTCCTACTTTGAAAATAAAAATATGAAAGTCTTATTTTGATTACTTTTTTTATATTTTAGTCTTATTTAGGGTAATTTATACTAAAAGAATAAAGATTTTTGCAGAAAAAGAAAACATTCATTGATAAACCCATGAAAAGTGTGAGAAAAATCCACATTTTATGTAGCAAAACTCTATATAAAGTCCTTCTTGCCACTCTATCTCTTTGGATTTTTGAAGATCACTCTCTCTTTCTTTTATTTTTATTTTTAAATAATTAATATTCACCGATTTCGCGATTATTCTCCGTATTTATTGCACAAAACGAAATCCGAGAGGCATGTGTAAAGAAATTAGTGTCATGAAGAGAAGGAAGGGGTCTTCACGCGCCGTTGCCGGAGATCGGGCGGCGGTTAGCCGGAAGAGATCCAAAATCTCGCCCGAGTTTACCCGAAAACCGGACTTTTTCGATTCGTTGCCGGACGATATCGTCTTGACCATTCTCTCGAATCTCAGCTCGAAGGCGGAGTGTCCGGCGGATTTTGTTAACGTTTTAATCACGTATGCTCCTCGATCTCCTTTTTATTTTTATTAGATTTTTGGATTTTGATTTTGAGATTTAGATATATCCATTAATGGAGTAATGATGATTTTTTCTTTTGTGTTTGGATATAGATGCAAAAGGATGAACGGGTTAGGTTTTCAATCTATAGTTCTATCAAAAGCTTCTCGGAAAATGTTAGCCGTCAAAGCTCGGAACTGGACCGAGTCGGCTCACCGATTCCTCAAGCTCTGTGCCGATTCCGGAAACGTCGAAGCCTGTTACATTCTCGGCATGGTTAGTGGCTCGTAATTTCATATTATGTTTTCATAAAATTTTGCAGATTAAGTTTTATGAGAGGAGATTAATCTGATTGTATTTTCAATGGGGGCGGGAAGCAGATTCGGTTTTACTGCCTGGAGAATCGAGGAAGTGGAGCGTCACTTATGGCGAAGGCGGCGATTGCCTCTCACGCGCCGGCGCTTTACTCGCTCGCCGTCATCCAGTTCAACGGCAGCGGTGGCTCGAAGAACGATAAGGACTTGCGCGCCGGCGTCGCGCTATGCGCTCGAGCGGCTTTTCTCGGCCACATAGACGCGCTGCGGGAGCTCGGACACTGCCTCCAGGACGGCTACGGCGTGAAGCAGAACGTGGCTGAGGGACGGCGGTTTCTGGTTCAAGCCAACGCTCGGGAGCTGGCTAACGTGCTCGCCGCCACTCCGTCGGATCCCATATACGGCGCGTGGCTTCCCTTGATTCCGCTCGCCCACCAGCGCCATCTCGCCGCCGGGGCGAGCTCCCCGTTGCTAAGCGATTTCGGGTTTGACATCCCGGGTCCGGACCCTCACCCGGCTAACCAGTTCCTAACCGATTGGTTTGCGGCGAAGGAAGGGGTTCCGGGTCCGGGGCTCCGACTCTGCTCTCACGTGGGTTGCGGGCGACCCGAATCCAGGAGACACGAGTTCCGCCGCTGCTCCGTCTGCGGCGCCGTCAACTACTGCTCCCGCGCTTGCCAGGCGATGGACTGGAGGTCCCGCCACAAGTCCGGCTGCGCGCCGGCGATGAGGTGGGGCGATGCCGACGGGGAAGGGGAGGACGTCGCGGGGGCGGAAGCGGTGGATGCGAATAACGGCAACGAGGAAGCCGTGGAGATCGAGAATGATGACGTGGGGGATAGTTGACCGTGACGGCAACGTGAGAGGGGTTTGAATGGAATACCGGCCGAATTTTGGGGGTGCAAATGGAATTAGGAACATTTCATATGGTCAACGTATTGTAAATGGGAAACAGAATGAAAGTAAAGATTTTCTGTTCAAAAATAGAAAAAAAAAAGAAGAAATTAACCCGTACTATTTGTTCTGGGATCAAAGTCTAGAGATGAAAATAGATTACTTGAGAAATAATTCTTCCTGCGCACAGTAAATGGTGATGATGATGAAGCCTTTTGCTCTTTTGATTTACTCCGGAGTATGATTTTGAATTGCCCAATCTCCCCGACCAAATGATCGTCCAACTCTTTTTCATTCCTTTATACTCTTTTTCATTATGTATTTGATAAAATAAAATATTTTTATCACCTCTTGTTTTGTAAAATTTTTGACGAAATTTTTTATATGTAATTTTTATTTCTTATCGATACACTAATTTGTAAATAAAATAATTTCAAAAAGTGAGATGTTTTTCATCGTAAATCCTAATTTGATTACAAATAGGGTACGGAGGGAGTAATTTTTTTGTTCCAAAAGAGAAATAATTCACCTCGGATGCCTCTCACTCATTATCCAACGAAATTGGGGGTGGATGTAAATCATGGTGACTCAACCGACAACAGAGATTATGACTCATGCTTATTCGTGCACAAAAGGTTTTGAGAGGTTGTTCTCACACCGTCGTTGGTGAAACTCAATTCTTAATCTCTTGTTTCAAATTCTACCTCTGAAACTAGTTGAATTGTTCATGCAGGTTTTTAAACTAGAGACGAATTCAACTTTTTCGTTTGATTCATACCTAAAATTGAAAATCAAATTGAAAATAAAAACTTTTTCAAGTTAATTTTACATGGTACTACCGTGAGTTTTGGTATTCCCAAAAGTTTAGTACGGAGTACATTTTTATTTGCATCATTCATCGAACTTTTAAACTTAGAAGTTTATTTTGATTATTGAATTTCAATTTTTAAATATAAAAATTTGAAATTCAAATTACAAAAGGGTGTAGAGATTTGGAACTAAATTTTGTTATGAATTAGAGAAATTTGACCAAAATTTATCTTCAAAATTTAAATTTTCAAACATATAATTTTGGTGAGGTCTAAATTTAACAAATATTTATAAGTCAAACGAAAATTTTCTTTATAAAAATCCAAATTACAAAAAAGAAATTCTCCAAAAGCAAAAAGTAGGTAAAAAAAATTTATTATACAAAAAAGATTTTTTTTCTTTAAATAGGAGATGACGCAAATTAAACAATACTCCGTATTAAACTTCTAGAAGTATATTTTGAAATTTTCTAAAACTGGCCATCAATCTTCAAGGACACTGGAAATACCTTTAATAATTGGGTTGTTTTTGCCTTTTTAATGCCATGAGCGATATCGGACCTTCATCATTTGTGCGTCAAACTTTTAACGGAGAAAGAAGAGAAAAAAGTTTTAGGTCCCTCCATTGAAAAACAACAAAAATTTTACATTAATGCCGTTGGGCTAAAATTTTTTTTTAAAGTAGGTAGATTATGGTAAAATGCACTGGATCAGAAAAAACAGGTCTGAATAGGTTCAAACACATTGTAAACATGTCTGATCTTCTGTCTAAACAAAAATACATTTCTAATTCACTCTAATTCGGTCTTGTTATAATTTGGACCGATGCTTATTCATAATCATGTCAGTCTTCTATTAAACTATACTTAGGTCATATTATCTTCAACTTATTCTTATTACTTACGGAGTATTATTATTTTTCTTATTGGAAGCAGATCAGAACATAGAACATATTATGTTTAAATATAACTACGTTCAGACAATCAGACCAGATCAGAACGTATTTCATTCATATCGGATGAAGAGAACATGCAACTACTTTAAAAGATGAGATTATTATGCGTTGTCTAACAAAAAGTTAAACTATTTTATTACTTATAAAAAGAAGTTATTTACACGTTAGTATTTTATTGACTTTTTCATTATTGGGCTAAGGGATATAACTAACAGTGAGATTCTTTTGCACATTGTCAAAGATGCGATTATCCCTTAACCAACTCTTTAAAAATTTAATATTTGTTGTAAAAACAATAAAAATTATTAAACCCAGCTGCTATTGTACTTTCGATTCCATCTTTGGCTTTGGGTTAAAAAAGCAAACCATAAACCTAAATTCACCCCTACATCAATATAAATATCGCCCCTGTACTACTATTTTTTCTAGTTTGAATTTTTCGAGTCAAACATGATAAACTTCGATTTTCATCTAAACAAAAACTTTAATATAAATTAGTATTAAAAATATTTTATTAGAGGAATATAGTATTTTAGATTCAAATTAAGTTAATGTCAATACATAGTTTGAACTTTCACAAAGTGATAATTACATTTTTGAAGTTGTTTGACTTAGTTAAGGTGTAAAATTTAACTTGAAAGTATAACTTTTCCTTTTTTTTAATTTTTTGAGTTGATACGTGATTGGCTCGTGTTATATATATACCTTCCCTCTTAAAAAATGTTCAATTTTCGAGCAACGTACGAAATTCATCTATTTAAAAATGATTTTAATTATAGATTGACATAAAAATAAAAAGTACTCCCTCCGTCTCATTTTATATTGCTCATTTTGACTTTAGAGCATATTTAAGGAAGGGAACAAATGGTGTTGATTTTTCAAAAATGCCTTACTCTTTTTACAAGAATGACGATGAATGAGAAGATAAGGTGGTGATGAGTGACTTATTTTAGGAGTAGTTTAGGTAATTTATCTTTAAAATTTTATTATTATAAGAAACAGACAACTTATTTTGGGACGAACAGAAAAGGAAAACAAGTAATTTAAAATGGAACGGAAGAAGTATAACTTACATACCTCATATTTAAAATTACATCAAAAATTCTACAAAAATAAGTAGTAATAAATATATTTTATTTCATTAAATAAATAATAAAAAATACACGCAACCTAAATTTTTCAAAAACTTAAAATAATAAACAAGAAAAGTTTTTGGGATGGGAAAATAATTATTTAGGACTTTAAGTCTCAATCTTATGAGGCTGTCACAGAATCACATCACCGCCTCAGTCATGGGCTTTCAGCTAATCGATCAAGTTCTATGGGCCTAGCAAAACGTGTTTAGAGTTTAGACTTTTATTTAGCGTCTACTAATTTTGAAATGGAATCTCCATTATAGCTCCTCCCATCTGATTGTTCACTTTTTAGAAACAAAATTATTTTGAAAAATTAAATTTAAGACACTTTATCTTTTTAAGGTTTTAGAAAATTCAAAAAATTATTACTGAACATGGAAAATAGAATTTCTTTAAAACTCATAAGAACATCTAGTCTTTGATGCATTGTTCCAGAAAAGGAAGAATGCTCACACTCACCAAAAGAGTAGTGAAGAGATAAATCATAGTTTGTACATTAGAGGAGATGTGTTGTACCCAATGCACCGTTGTTACCAGGATTCAAGTCTAATAAATTATGTGCTTAATTACCTCCTGGAAAAGACCAGTTGTGCTACTCGTGGAGGCGCATTCGAACTCACTAGACAAAAGATAAACAAAGAGTAAATTCTATAATTGGTCCTTTATAACATGGGGGTTTCCCTATTTAGTCCTCTATTATCAAATATTATCCAAGTGGTCCTTCTTTTATGGGTACCTTTCCACAAATAGTCCTTTTTTGATTTTCTATTATGTTGGTGTTAATTTGAGGGCTAAAAGTGTAATTTCACAATGATAATATATCTTTTTTGTCATACACAATTCCAAATGCTGTTCTGTTTGTGTCGTTTGTGAATTACAGTCGCTTTTTACGACAACGATAGTCTACAAATGTGATCTTTCGTCAGAATCCTAGCCCACAATCATAGTCATTATTTTTGTGTTATCCGCTTAACCGATATCAAAACACGTCACTAGACATAATGTTGATGTCAAATTATACTTTTAGCCTTTAAATTAACACAACACGGCAAAAGATCAAAAAAAGGACCATTTGTGGAAAGGTACCCTTAAAAAAAGGACAACGGGGGTAATATTTGATAATAAAAGACTAAATATGGAAACCCCCATGTTATAAAGGACCAATTATGGAATTTACTCATAAACAAAACTTTATGGGAAACTAAAAGTAGAGAGGATCACTTCACATGACCATAATTTATGGCACCTACTAGTAGTAGCTAGGCATGCTCATCATGTGCTCAACCAATATGTGCACAAGGAGCTTGGAGGAATGGGTAGTTATTTTGTAGAGCCCGTTTTGAAATATAGCATTTTTCGATTAACGTTAGTGTTTTAAATAATATTTTAACGGTACAGATTAAATTCGAAAACATTAAACATTAAATGCTACATGTAGATAGTATTTCTGAAATGCTAACATTAGCCTCTAACAATATTCTCAGACAGACCTGTAGTGCCCTCTGTGTGTATATATATTAGTGCTTGGTTCCCATCCTAAAGAAAGAGGGAGTTAGCACAATGGACAAAAGCACCAAGTAATCAATCCTTTGTTGTTGTCAATTGTCAAGTTGCCTTGCCTTGTTTAGTGCAATTTAATTTTCAATCACTTCTCACCAAGACAATTAGGTTTGCTTCTCTTTTTAGCCTTATTCCCATCCGACATGACCCGCCGTATCTTTCCCTTTTACCTCCTTTTCAATAAATTGGATTTGGACAAACCATAATTATGTACCCGGAGTATTTTAAGGAGTAGACAACTTGTGGGGTGCAATTGAAGGGAGTGAGAGGTGTGTTCGAGGCGGGGCGGGGTGGGAAGGTTTACCGAGGGTTAGGAAGAGTAGGAATCGTCAATTTTACGAATAGGGCACCGAAACGCCCCCAGGTCATCCTATAACAATAGTTTCCAATGTTATGAGAACCAAGATGATATTTCATAGATAAATATTGTCTATGTTGCATTGATAAAAGTGAAATTTGCACTAAATAGGACTAAAACATAATGACTTTCCTAATATAGGACTTAAACTTTTTTATTCTCTAAATAGAACTTAATAATGACCTCGTGGGAGGAATAATGTTCAGTAATGCTAGACATTTACTTGAATAATGACTACTCCCTCCGTCCCAGAGTATTCGTCCAGTTTTGACTTTTTGAACTGCTCATCTAAGCACTTTGACTCATCAAATTCTCTTAATGTGTAAGCCTAAATATAGTCATGTGTGATCTTGTTTGATTTGTCTTAACATATAGATTATTAATATATAATTTCTATAATTTTTTAATATACAAATTACAAGAAAAAATGGATTAAAGAAGTGTATTGGATGTCGTGTAAAAATGAAAGTGGAATACTCTCGGACGGAGGTAGTACTTGTTAATGACCAAAAGTCCTACATTGAGAAATAAAAACATATGGTCCTATATTGGGAAAGTCGTTATGTTTTAGTCCTATTTAAGTAAATTTCTCTTGATAAATACCGTCCATGTGATTCCCCTATACCAATTTCACATTTAAAAAAACTCAAATAAATTTGCACCATGGTCTTTTCTTTGTTTCACTAGATAATTCATATGCAGCAAGACTTTTATAACCATTCCGAATTAGTTTCTCTTTTAATCCATTGTTGATTCTAAAAAAAATCAAATACGGGGTACTTAATTACTTGTCATAATCGCGGCATAATTATTTACGAAGTATTAGTATCACACCCGTGTGTTGCACGGGTCATTTTTATGTTATTAAACTCAAATTATTTTTCAATGATAAAAATGAGATGTAATAGAATATAGAGATTATATTATTTTAAGGTAAAAAATATCACTGCTTTACAAATTTCGAAAGACTTCTTTATACACTACATTATTTGTATAATTTGTGGGAATATTATCTTTATAGGAAATCCATTTTCCGAGAGTTTTTGAATCTTGGTCCTGCCGAGCATGCAAGGGTGATTGGTCGTTTTTGTGCCCATAACCTTGACTCTCATCACTAAGTAAATAACATTTTCTTGCAAATATATTAGAATCTTTGATTTGAGCATGGATTTGATCGCCCTAATAACAAATATTAAACATTTACATATAATTAAATTCATTTTTTAAAAGATTTATATGTAAAATATAAAATAATGTAGAACTAACCTTTAAGTCGTGAAATATAAAATAATATAGTCCTGACCTCTCATCAACATTTTTTAAAGCGGTTATAATCCCCATGTGTTAAGTTCGTACAAAAAGTGATGTTGAAGCACCAAATTAAAGCACACATTGATTAATCTCACTACCTTGGCTTGGAAAAGTATCGTATTTATAGTATATAAAATTGTAATATGTTATAGGCTATTATAATAAGAATGATTAAAGTTTTTGAAATCGGGTGTATAATTATTCTTACCATAATTATTATTTTTCGAAATTGGGTATATAAGTGTATAACTTACCTTTTTTAATTATTTGCTCTAGACAAAATAATTAGTACACTCCATATGAATTGAAAACATTGTGTTTTGAGAGTAATATTCCATTTTTTAAAAATTCGTTTTATAAAAATAAATTTAAAAGCATTGTGTTTTAAAAGTAAAATTACTTTTTTTAATAATTATATTTCCTTTTGTGTAATATTCCGTGGAATCATTATTATTGAGGATTTAGAATTACCCTGATTAGAAAAAATCCGTTTAGTTAATATTAATTACCAATTACGGAGTAAAAATTATGTCATATTATCGTTGTTCCTTTTTAAAAATGATTACGAGTTAAAACTGTTCGTTTTAAAAAGGAAATTGGTTCTTACCATGATTATTTTTTTACGAAATTGGGTGCATAAGTGTATAACTTACCTTTTTTAATTATTTGCTCTGGACAAAATAATTAGTACACTCCATACAAATTGAAAGCATTGTGTTTTGAAAGTAATATTCCTTTTTTTAAAAATTCCTTTATAAAAATAGATTTAAAAGCATTGTGTTTTAAAAGTAATATTCCTTTTTTAAAAAAAATTATATTTCCTTTTGTATAATATTATGTGGCATCATTATTATTGAAGGTTTAGAATTACCTTGATTATAAAAAATCCGTTCAGTTAATATTAATTATCAATTATAAATTGTGTCATATTATCGTTGTTCCTCTTTTAAAATAATTACGTGTTAAAACTGTTCGTTTTAAAAAAGGAAATTGGTTAATACCGTGTGATAAAAAAGGAACTGAACATTATGGACATTATTAAGTGCTATTTAAGAAATAAAACAATTTAAGTGATATTTAAGGAAATAAGTTTTAGTGCTATTTAGTGCAAATATTTCTATTATGTTTCATCTAATTGTATTTAATTGATCTAACTTCAACTAAAAGCTTTCAATTTCGCCAAATTTTACTTCAAATTAAGGTAATTGTATTCAATTTCATCTGATTAAGGATAAAATTGATTGAATTTCAATTAATTAAGAAAATTTAGCACTCATTTGCATTCAATCTTATTTAGTACAATAATTTATTTGATTAAAATTGAATGAATATCAATTACTTTCACCTAATTTTACTAAATTTTTTACCCAAAGTACATTCAATTTAAATCAATTGGAACGAAATACTATTGACATTTATCTTTTATTTTTACATATATAAAGATAGAGATAATAGATGTCATAAAAGTCCTCCTATTTACGACAACAATAGAAATTAAAATTCTTTTGAATCGTTCCTGCCCAATGAAATCAAGAATTACCCAGTATAACTCAACCACAATTTATCTAATGGAAATAAACTCCATCACAAGATTTCACCCGGGAGGCCGAACCGAATTACTAACTATATAGGAAAGATAATGAGAAAACAGAGAGCTTGAGTGAATGAGAGTATGAAGAATGGTGTAAGAGTATATTAGATGATAAATATCTAATAATTGACCGGTCTCGAAGATGATAAATATCTAATAGTTAGTTATACACCCATGTTGCTTGCGCGCTAAAGTAGCAAAACTTGTAAAACAAGTTTCCCCGTCTATAAAGGTTACCCCTCCGCCATTGTGGAGGATGAGGACAATCAGTTCATGTGAATACCATGAACATCCACCCTGAGAATTCACTTTCTCTCTCTGTCTCTCTCTCTCTAAACTTCCTACAAGTATCCAAAAGCTACGATGAAAAACTAAGGTTTTGAAGCATGAACGCAATGAGCTAAAAGAGTACGAGATTTTAACGAAGGATGTTGATCATTTACCACCTCTAGTAGGGCTGTGCATTATTCGGTCCAAACCCGGACCGACCCGAAGACCGGCCAAAATCGGACCGGACCGGTCCGGACCGATCCTAATTCGGTCCGGTCTCCGGTCCATCAATTTCCGTTATCCGGGTTCCGGTCCGGTCCGATCCAAACCCGATGAGACCGATGGACCGACCGATGGACCGGTTATATCATTAATATGGGTTTGTATTTATATGGGCTTTAGGGCTTAATTTATCATCAATACCCATTACCCCAAATAATCCAGCCCAGTAGCAAATCCACTTATCCACTGGCAGCAGGTTCTCAACTCCGTCTGCAGCGCAGCAGGATTCCGCCCAATCCTCCGATAGTCGCAGCCGGCCAGCAGTCGTCCACTCCGACCACACTCCACAGGTACGCATTCTCCCCCTTGCAAATCTTCAGTTTCAATTAAATGGATGGCATATTCCCCCCCTTATTCGGTCCTTATTCGGGCCGGTCCAGTTTTTTTCGGTCCGGTCCTGGTCCGGTCTTACACTTTATCGGTCTGGTCCCCGATCCATTAGTTTGCTCTTATTCGGTCCCGGTCCGGTCCCGGTCTGGTCCGGGTCGTTCCGGGTTTGGACTGATGCACAGCCCTAACCTCTAGAGTGTGCAGCTGTTCTTAAAATGAAAGACAAAACCTTAGCTGGAAGTGGCTAGGAAGTGCGACCGACAACATGGGTGGTGATATTTGTTTTTTATCGAGTACTTGTACTTTTATACTTCTTTCGTCTTAAAATGAATTATCCATTTCGATTAATAACCTGTAAAATCCCGTGACTTTTAAAATAGTTTTATTTTCAAATTGTTTTGAAAAAAATAAAAAGTATACATTTAAAAACTACATAAAATATTTTATAAAATTTTATAAAAGTATGCAAATTATTTAACATGAGCCCGGTCCTTTTATTTCCTATCTAATACTCTCTTCGTCTAAAAAAGACTTTTTTAGTCAACTTGAGTAAACATTGATCACAATTAAATATAGTTTTAAATAGTTAAATGTTATAAAATTTTGATATATCAAAATTATACTTCAAAATAAAGTAATTTTATTAAATTTAAATTATAAATAAATATATTTTTTCCACAATATATGGTCATAATGTTTTATAATATGGCTAAAAAAGTCATATTGCGGTAGTTTTTTTTTTGAACAGAGATAAAAGAGAGCATAAGATTGTGTTATGTTTGTCTAATATGATCTGATTTGGGACATATTTGGTTTTTAGCATTTATAATGGCTTTTGGTTGTTTTGACCAATTTTAGCAGATTTGACTAGTCAAACAGCCAAAAAGGGTGTTTGGTAGTTGGCTGCTGAGTCCGAAAAGCCAAAATTCAAAAAGCTGCAAGGAGTAGCATTTCAGTTTGACGGTTGGAAAATAAATTTTTTATTATTTGTTATTGTATGTAATTTTAATGAATAGATAAAAAATAATTATTTTTTGCCTAATTAAATAAAAAAATTGATATATAAATAAATATATAAACAAAAATTGATAAATAAATAAGTAAATATAAAAAAATAATTAAATAAATAAGCAAACAATATAAAAATAAATGAATAGTAAATAAATAGTCCTTCTCCATGTAAAATTCATGGAGAAATTTGCGAGATTTTTTTTGTTTTTTTAGAATTGGTGTAGAAATAAACAAATTTAAGAACTACATCAAAAAAAATTTTGAAACAAAATATAATACTTCGTACAATTATATTATTTTATTAATTGATCGATAAACACACATAAATAAATAAAATCATAATGACTTTAGAACAATATATAGCTTAAAATTTTATTTGAGGAAAGAAAGAATATACATTGCAAAAATGTTATACCATATAATTATATAGGTGAAATTTCATTAAATTGAATTTAATTTATTAAACTAATTTTGAAGAAGCTAAGTTTGCCAAACAATTTTTTTATCAACAACCAATATAATCAATTGGTTAAAGCAGCCAACTCAACCAGCCAACACGAACAAATATCAGTCAACAGCTAAATTCCAAACATGGCCTTGATTTGAGTAGATTTTTTGAAAATCTGATTTGATCTTATGTGATTAGATTTCATCTGATCCCATTTACTCCCTCTGTCCCATTTTAAATCGCCTGTTTTGACTTTTGGGCATATTTAAGGAAAAGAAAAAATAGAGTTGTTTTTCCGAAATTGTCAGTACTTTTTAGGAGGGATAACGATGATTGAGAAGATTAGGTAGAGAAAAGTGACTTATTTTAGAGGTAGTTTAGTTATTTTACTCTTAAAAGTTTACGAAAACAAGTAACAGACAACTTATTTTGGGACGGGGAAAAAAGGCAAACAGACAATTTAAAATGGGACGGAGGTAGTAATTTAATCTATACATTATTTAAAAAGACATGAATTTTCTCCCGCCCATGCATGACACCCATATATGGAAAGTGTTGACAACATAAATGGTAGTTTAATTATTTTACCTTAATGTTTTCCTTCCATTTTAAGTGTGTTTTTATTTTTATTTTTATTTAAATGTTACACCATTTAAGCATTTAAATTAAATTAAATCAAATAGTAGTGAACCATTGAGGAATTGAAGTATGGAAATAAAATACACTGGCATATTAAAATAAAATTTAAAAATTACAAATTTATATAGTATGGGCAGGATTAAAATGATTTATTTCAAACAAACTACAAATTAATTATTTATCATTAAAAAATATTATAATTTACAAGCACAAATGCGTAAAAATAGTGAGTTTTCTAAAATAGATTAAAAAATAAATATGGTACGGTAAGTAGATGATAACATTTAAATAAAAGAATAAATAAAAAACTACAAATTAATATTAATACTATAATTTAAAAGAATGGAAACGTTTAAAAAATGACAAATGTTCTTATTAGAAAATTAGAAAATAAATAGATATGGTATGGTAAGCAATTAGCACCATTTAAAACGAAAATAAAATAAATGGTAAGTTTTTTAAAATAAATTAGGTCAGTGTTCTAATATAAAAGAGAAATTAAAATACTCCCTCAGTCCCCAATTTCAATACAAATTCCGGGTTACGGAGCAAAATTTCTTACTTTTTGAAATCATTTTATTTACAAATTGATATATCATTAAGATATAAAAATTACATATTAAACAACTACGTCAAAAGTTCTACGAAACAAGAAGTGATAAGAATATTTTATTTTATCAAATACTTAATGAAATCGCGTAAACAAAGAAAAGTTATCGAGAGGAGAGAAAAAAAATTATAATCTATTTAGGGACAGAGAGAGTACATCTAAAAATGATAAGTGTTCTAAAATAAATTAGAAAACAATGTGGTTTGGTAAGTAATTAGTATGATTTAAATGCGAAAATAAATTAAAAAAATACAAAATTAATATTAATACTATACTTTAAAAGCATGATTTTTTTAAAAAAGGAAAGTGTTCAAATTAGAAAATTAGAAAATAAATACGGAATGGTATGTCACCACGATAAGCAAAAGGTACCATTTAAACACAAAATAAAATAAATGGTAAGTGTTCTAAAATAATTTAGGTAAGTGTTCTAAATAAATTAGAAAATAAAATAATTATTAAAACGTTAAGTATTCTAAAATATATTAGAAAATAAATACGGTACGGTAAGTAAATGATATCATTTAAATAAAAAAAATAAAATAGAAAACTACAAAATAATACTATCAATTAATACTACAATTTACAAGCATGGTAACGTGTAAAATGGTAACTGTTATAAAATAAATTAAAAAATAAATATGGTACATTAAGCAAATGGTACCATTTAAATGCAAAAATTAAAAAATTATAAATTAATACTATTAATATTATAAGCATGGAAACATGTAACAATTCTATAAGTATTCTAAAATAAATATTATTAATACTATAATTTACAAGCATGGATACGTGTAAAAATGGTAAGTGATCTAAAATAAAATAGAAAATAAATACCATAGGGTAAGTTAATGGTACCACTTAAATACGAAAATACAATTAAAAAATACAAATTCCAAAATAAATACATTAATATGTTGAATTATTACTTAAGTCAAATTATTAAATTATTATCAAGAACAATATCTGAAACATATTGAATTATTGTTACAAAAACTGGTAATTAGTCATGAGAAAGTGTATGTTGCAGTTTAAAGAGTAATAAATCACAATGGTTTGAAGATTCTGATATACAACGAAGTGAATGCTCACACAAATTATACATACGAGTGATGTAGTTTATAAAGAAGTCTTTCGAAATTTGTAAATCATTTTACTTTTGTACTTTAAAATAATGAAATATTTATATTCCATTATATAATAATTTATATTCTTAAAAATAATCTTAAGTTAGTTTCGTAACTATGGCCCGTGCAACGCACGGGTGTGATACTAGTTGGATTCAACCTAACCTACATTTAAGTCCAAACAAGTCACGGCATGAGCGTAAAAGTCATTAATAGGGAAGCGAGGTGTCTACGTCGCCCCCGCGACCATTGCCCTCGACGCACATCGGATATCTCCCAATCGCCGACTACAGAGGTGTGTCGTCGTCCCACGCCAGGCTTACATTCCCGTGAACAGGTAGTCATCTATGCTTCTTCTGTTCTTCAGATCTTCCAACCTCCATCTTCAATTAACTTTTTTTTTTCGGATTCGAAACTAAACCTGTCGATAATATACATTTGATTGAATTCACAAAATGAATGCTTCTAGATTATTGATTACATACGAACAATCAACAAAATGATGAAATCTTAATTTTTAAAAATTCTTTTAGGAATTTCAATTGAAAAGTTATATAGATTACAGAGTAGAAACCTAGATTGTCCAGACTAATGGCCGATTGAATGGTCTAAATTATCCGAAACGTACTAAGCATGGTTGTTTTAAAGTTTGGCCTTCATCCATAATACTCCTTATGTAAGTCATGGTAAACTATCTTGTAATTTGTATGGGTAAGTCCATTATATGTTTTGCCATTGTCAATATACATTTTGCTGATGGTTATTTACTTCTTCATTGAGCTGTCCTAGGATGCTGATGACACTAAAAATCAACTAAAAATAAGCAGATACATCTGTTCCTCGCCATCAATGTTCACCTATTTCCTTATTTGATGAATTTTGCATTATAGTTCAGATTCTCTGTTATTAACTTTCAAGAGATAACACTAAAGTTTTGCTAAGCACAAACCGTTTTATAAAGTAGCTTGACCCTTTTTTTTTGTGATAATAAAAATTTAATCCTGAGCCTAAACCACAATGGTTCGTGGCTTCATGCACACCACCCTGCCTCACTCTTTTGAACTGCTCCAGTCTACCTATGTAAATATACTCCTTTGTTTGTCTCTTAATTCATCACAGGTAGCAGATGAGATCTATCTTTATACTCTGTTTTAATTAAACTGTTTTTACAAACATTATGTGTTGGTATTGAGGCATGCTTTCATATTATTAAGACATTCTATGATGATTAACATGTTCTATCTACAGGAAAATATGATTCATGAATGTATTCTTTTATAATAAGAACATTGTGGTCAAAATAATATGAACAATGTATTCAATTTTCATTAGTGTACTTCTTTAATAAAATAAATTAAACCACAAAGGTTTCTACACCCACTATGCCTCAATTTTGTGATATTCTAAAGTGTAAAATGATACAATTATCAATACAAAATTCTCACTCAATATTGTATAGAAAACCTCAATGCTCTACATTGTATTTGCCTCCTAAAAAAATACGGAGTAAGACTTTTGTATCTGTATGTGGACAAATCTGACCTTGCCTCACTTTAGTGAGCTTGTACTTGCTTGCGGTGGTCTTGTATATATAGTATAAGCTCATATGTAGGAATACATTCTTTTAAAATGGATTAATGAGTTCGTTAACCATGCAAAGAGAGACATTTAGCTCCTACACTACACATAAAAAAGTATACTCGGTATTATTTAAATTCAGTTACACCTCCAAATCATGAAAAATGCATTCTTGACCATCACTACTGTTTTTTAGGGATGGCAACATGTCATATTTGCATACTGTAGTCTTAGGACAGATACATGGAAGAGTGTATAGAATTCTTGCACAACTTCTCCTGGAGGATGCAAAGAGCTATGTAGTGTAATGGAAAAATGAGCCTTTCTTATACAAACTCTATAGTATACTCCACTTTATTTTACTCTTACCATAGCAAATTGAAGATTCAATGAATATGTGCAATGAAATTCAGTGATGTGAGGATGGATTAAAATGTGGGGCGAGAGCGCTTCCTGGATTTTTTGAACCAATTCACGTGGAAGTTTCTACAAGATTTAAATGCTCCTATGATACATGCTTCTCACTTTCTATCTGTTTGCACTCGTCCTTTTCAGCATGTGTAAAGTATTCTGTATTTGATTTGTACCATTAAGATGCAATAGATTGTAGCTACGTGTTGCCAATTTTTTTTAGCCATCCAATTGCTCAGTTTTGGCGGCAAAATTGGATTGGGTTTCCAATTCAACTTTGCCTTTATATATTTAATAGATGTTTGAAAATTGAAAATAATGTAGAAATGTACAAATAGTAGTGATAAAGGCATGTAATCTCATACAGAGAACAATTTTATTGTGCATCGGTGGTTTTGTTTGGAAACCTCTAAACCAAGTGAGCTTTCTATGTTTAATCTGTAAGAATGTCTACCACTCTGAAATTGCAGTCACAGCTACGTGGTCACATTGTATCGCGGGTTTACTTAAACATATGACTATATAAACAGCATATTTCTTGTTCTATGATCTAAGTGACACTGACTGGAATAAATGAGTTACATGAGCTGCTGCTAACAAATTGACTAATGGAGACAGGATTGAAGTCATCTCAGCATTATTTCCATAAAGATTTGCCCTGTTATTATTGTAAATTGCTTTCAATGGCTTCGGGTTCTCACAGAGGTGGCGGTTTTTATGGAGCTGAACCCTACCGGTCAAGGTAAATTGGACTCTTTTTACCTTCTCATGAAATGTTTCTTGGTTTATTTTCTACTTGCACTTTTACAAAATGATAGTGAAATGTAATGTGCAAGTTGATGGAATGACACCTTTGACATTCAATTTTTATGTGGAATCTTTGGTGTTTGAAGCGAATTCAAATTGATTTTCAAATAATTTCTGTTTAATCCGACAGAGATGGATTGAGTACAAGACAGGTAGGCAGTTCAGATGAAATACAGTTGCGTATTGATCCAATGCATGGAGACTTGGATGATGAAATCACTGGTCTTCGAAAACAAGTTAAACAGCTTAAATATGTAATAAATTATCCCTTTCTTTTGTGAAGTATAGACTCCGTAATTATTTCCATACATTTTATGTTTATATTTTGATATTACATTATTTTTGTAATGTCCTCTCTACTTTCGAGTAGGGGCAAGGTATGCGTACACACACCCTCCCGAGACCCTACACTTGTGGGATCCAACTGGGTTGTTGTTGTTGCTGTATTATTTGTGATGTGAAATGTCTCTTTTTGAGTTTTGATGTGTATTTAAATGCTTGGTATCACATATGATCTTTTCTTGGTACTTCTTGGTTCTCTATTTAGTCCAATATTTACCTTGAGCTAGGACTTTGTAAAACATGTTTCTTATAGCTCCATTGCAGTTCCTAAACTATGAGGAGTGTGTAGTACTCATGAACTTATACTAAAAAGATTTCTGAAACTATAGATGATCATCATAATCTCAATATGGAAAGACACTAACACTATTCTTATGTTTACAATACTTATCTGCTTTGTGCATTCGTTTTTGTGTTTTCATTTGGATATGTCTTAGCTGTCTAGCATAAGTGCATGACTATATGCATAGGAAGTTATTTCTTGAGACTCCTGTATCGGTAGTGATAATAGATAGGTATTCATTCCTGAGTTATGTTATTTGTAACAACTGAGGTTTGGGAGACTACTAATCTAAATATTTATGCCGGTTCCCTTCTCTTATTTTTTTCCCCGCATCAATTGAAAACCGTTTTACATGGTGAACCATTTTCTTGATGGAAAGCCTTAAACGTACCATTCAGTTTCCTCTCTCTTAGTCCTATTCTCTTTGCAATTTCTTAGCCATGTGTGATATTATTGCAGGTTGCTCAGGAAATTGAATCAGAAGCTAAATTCCAGAACGACTTTATTAGCCAGCTGGTATGTTGTTGTCGCTGGCATCCTCTCTTTAATTAACTCAGAATCCGAACCTACCATTTTCACTTGAGACTGAAATCTTCATTTCGAAATATCTGTGTTTATGTTTACAGATAATCATATGCATATTATTTTTTCCTTGCGCAGCAAATGACATTGATCAAAGCTCAAGCTGGGCTGAAAAACAATATGAGGCGGCTTAATAGGAGTATCATCCAGGAGGGATCATCCCATGTAATGCATGTTGTACTCTTTGCACTGCTCTGCTTCTTTGTCATCTATTTGCTGGCCAAGCTCTCGCGGCGATGAAGGGGAGTCTCGCGCAACTCTTGTACTACTCTACTTGCACATCGCCTACGTGAAAATGTATCATGCTGTTTTTAAAAATATACATTTAATCAAAATGTCTCAACTAGACTTGTGCTAGTGTGTTGCATAGGAAGAATATTTTTTCATATTTTAAAAATATATACATTTGATCAAAAAGTGTCATGCATAACAACAAATGTCGAGTTATGATCTGCACAAATTTTTTTATAAATCAATTTAAAATATTAACGTGACAATGAAGATACAGTGGGGGTGGCAATATAGGTGTTTGGGGACGCATTGCTTCGGCGGTTAAGTCGTATGACTGTCGTGTTATTGCCTTTGTTCCTCGAAAATATTGCTGAGCAAAACATGCATAGTTCAACTGTAGGTTTTGAACTTAGAATGTGTGTTGAATAGAACTTAAAATTACCTTGGGAACATACGAGGTTTAAGCTTTAAATAAACATCCTTAATGTAAATATGCATAAAAATTTATGATTTTCATGCACTTAAGAACTCAAGAAATATCTATAATGATATAATTGGGTTACACTAAGGGTCCGTTTGGAAAGGGGGAAATGAGGAACGATTTTCGGAAAATGACTTCTAGAAAATGAGTATTTTCCAAAAGTCGTTTTCCTTTATGTTGTCGTTTGGCTAGCATGAATGGAAAATGAAGTTAACTCGGGCGAAAATCAACTTCTGAAAAAAAAAAGCGGAAGTCAAATTTCGGATTTTGGGTTCATTTTCCGGTTGACCCCTCTCATTTTCCTTTGACTCTATTCCGAAACACCGTAAAATGACTTCCGCAAGTCATTTTCCTCCGTTCCAAACAGACCCTAAATGTCACTAGCTCAACCACTTGTTCTAATTATTACTCTTAAATTATTTGTCCACTTTAATACATGCCAACAATACACATAACCTATTGCTAAGATACTTCAGACAATTCATCATATCTTTACTGAATATATAAAGTGGACAACTGATTTCGATGAAGTGAAATACTTGCAACGAATTACACTTAATAATGTCTCGATAAAATGGAAAAAACAAAAGTCCAGCTAATTTCAAATAAATAGAGTAAAATTTTTGCAACAAATTACACTTAAGAATGTCGATAAAATGGCAAAAACAAAATTCCAGCTAATTTTCTTTGAAGAATGTATCTCAAATCACAAAGGTCGAACATTTTTTATATCTTGATGCATTTGAGATTAACACAAAACCAACATGCAACTCCTTCCTCGGACGCTTATATCCTTTTTCTCAAAATGCCTCCCTTATATTCACAGTTTACCAGAAGAGGAGAAGAGTTGCAGGCATTTCCCCCAAACTTATCGCGGAAGTGCAGTTTTTGGGGTTGCAAAAATGGGGTTGTCGGGCAACGGGCGCGGACATGC